GATAGTTAAATGTCTTTACTGTCACAGCAAGCTGAGGAGAGAGGTGGGATCAATGTTATCAAGCCTACAGTATGCTCTCATGCAAAGTTACAGTCTAGAGGAATGACGTGTGTGAAAGAAGCTCTATTTAATCACTCCCCCATGAGGAAGAGGAGAGTGAGAGGGGCTGAAGTGAAGCCAGAGGAAAGGGGAAGGGCCTGACCTCAACAAGCCAAAACAGCTGCCCCCTTCTCCCCCATGGAGAGTCCACAAGAGGAGCCTGATGGAGCGAGAGACGGGGCAAGACTGGAGGGTCTGTAAACGTGAAGCGGAAGAGAGGGGCGTACGAGACATTTGAGGGTCTGTACACACTGAAGAGCAGAGAAGGAGGTATTGGCAAGTGGAAAGAGGGAAGAGGAGAGGGTGCTGAGTGTATGCTTACATGTTTTCAGAGAGAGGATTTCCAGATAGTCAGGGACAGGGAAAAGTGTAAGAGGAGAGGGGGACAAAGAGTGGAGGGTCTGTGCTTGGTGACACTAAGCCGGGTTGTAAGAGGAGAGGAGGGGAGTCGTATGGGGTGGATTCAAGGCAGGATAAGCTGTCAAAGCTGCAAGAAGTCATGTTGGACAGGAAGATGTTAGCAGTCACAGAAACATAAAAAGGCCCTCCAAAACCTGAAGCACTGAGAGGTGGGAAAGAAGAGGGAGCTTCTGGAGTAAAGCATTTGTTCTGAGGGAGCGGATAAGAACTGAAGAGATACAAAGCAAGGGAGGTGTCTGCTGGAAGTATGGGGTGCATCCACAGCACGGGCACTGATGGGATGAGGAAACGTGGACTTAACAGTGGCACAGGAGGAATCCCCATAAAGGTAGACCCTGAGGTGCATCCTGAAATCCTTCACCTCACTGAGGTAAGTGAACAACTGCTATCATACAGTAACACTCAGGTTGTACACAGCAGAAATGCACTACTCTGTGAATTTGTAGGTTTTATACATGAGAGAGAACATTTTGGCTTTGAGGATAAACAGAGTGATGGTGAACTAAAACTCTTGGCTGTTAAAACAGCATCTGGGGGTTTGGATGTTTGAATGTACATGGTCCTGTGTCAGTTGTTCAAATTGTTCCGAAGAAGTTCCTATTTGCCATTTGACTTGCAGGAGAAGCTGAACTTAACTGTTAGCCACTACACTCACTGTATTTCCACATTAAATCAGGTCTGGACTCCAAAGCCGGTCTAAGTCTCTTGCAAAAACATTGCTCCACTCTTTGTCAGCAATAAATCAAATCTTGTGCATCTTTTGCCACACAACCTTGCATACCAAAGGATAGACATATGTTGTGCAGGTCCCTTTTAAGCCTACACCAGAAGCATGGATTGTGTGTGCTGTGAACATTTAGAACCAATGTGAAGCTTTAATTGTAACTTCCAAGAAAGAAATCATGGAAAGCAATGATCAGCAATGAGAAAGAGAACAAAAAAGAAACAGCATCACACATGGCCTTTGAGGTTCAAGAGGAATCGACATAAGTTACTGTCGGGTTTCGACCTGCCAACTGTTCGTCTGCTGCCTCTATTTAGGAACACGTACGGGAGACTCAGGAAGACTTTAATGGAGTTGAAAATAAAAAGTGTCCGCTGGTATGCTCCAAGGATGCACACCAAAATGTGTGTGTTCTCACATGTCACACTCTGGGCACGCTCTATGACAGAGTAACAGAGCACAGAGGAAGAAGATTCAAGCATTCAAATATATACAGAACTTTTCCTTTGTACAGAAATATACGTAAATGTTGGGCCATTTTTTTGGGCAGCAATAACAGTACTCAGATCACATGTGGCTTCAAATCCCCCAAAGCTTTATTGTGTGTGTCAGTCTAAGCCTCTATGTGCTGGTGTGTATGTGTTTCTAACCAAGCCAAATTATGATAGCATAGTCCCAGCTGAATGGGTGGACTCTACAATGGAGAGCAATAAAACATGTCATGCATGCAAACAGTCCAGGAGTTCTTCTTGATGTTGTTTGTGGTGTCTTGTTTTCTTTTGCCTTCTCTCTGTCTCTGTGCGTATGTCTTTCTCTCTGTCACACACACACACACACACAGGCACAGACATTCCCGTACTACTTTCATGGCTGTTTAGAGTGACAGCTCTTACTCATGAAGGTTATAAATACCCAGCCAGAAGTGAAGCATACCCCTGCCTTGCCACCTGCTCCCGTCCCTTCGTAGCCAGAACTGTGTGTAGTATCTTTTTACCATTTAAATGTATTATCACAGTGTGTTGTAATGCTTTCTGACATGACAGAAAAGTCAGGATTGTAATGACAAATATTTTAGAATCATATAGTTGTAATTTGTGCACATTAGCTTTATATGATTGTAATGGGAAATAACTTTAGAAAACTGTTCTTTTTCTTTATGAATATAGATGAGTGGTTTTGGAGTAACACCCTTGAATGCTGGTGTCGCAGTAATAAACAAAATCACATGCAGGCACAGCCATAAAGAAACCTATTATGCTGCTGCTGGTGCCTGACCCTTTCCTCATCAGCATGTTAGATGTGGAAAGGCTTTGGGCTCTCTGCAGTGGTCAGAGATGCTTGGAGAATGACATAGAGTTTGGCTGTAAAAATCCAAAAGGGGTGGAGTTCTTTAATACTGCAATGCAATACTGCAATGCTGCTGAGTCCCTGGAGACCGAATATCCGCTCAACCAAAGTTCCTCGTCACTGGTATCAAAAGTACATGAAAGGGGTACACACACAACAACCTGAACACCTGCACAGGCTAATGCAGTCCACAGTCAGTTCAAGTTTTAAAGATCCTCAGCAAAATAAAACCACTGGAGAGTTTAAATGCTCAAGATTACTGACCATTATACAAATAACATTACAGTTTCACAGTGAGAGTATTTGTTTTCAGCTGTTTAATTGGATTGTATTACGTGGCATGTGTTCTTAACGTTGTGTCCACCCCTGCTGTTGCTTAGTCCTTTCCACTCTTCCACTCTTCCAGTGTTCAGTTACTGGAGAAATGGTGAGAAAGCCATCTACAGGGGAGAACTGCAGCAGCATTATATAACATTCACTCCACACTGTGAAATTCACAAGCAATATCATTTGTTAGTTAAAAAGTTAGTGACATCACAACCACGTGTTGTTATTCAACAGATTATTACCCACAAACTTTATCCTACACACATTTTAAGGTGCAATGTGAACTGAATAAGCAACTTAACAAAGTAATTTGCTCAAAAGTGAAGTCCTAACTATCAATAGTTGCATTAGTTTGAGTTTAACTACACTGTCGTCCCTAAGCTCTCAAATTTAAGTAAATGAAACCAAGCAACCTAGTTCCGTCTGGGTGTTTACATTAAGTGACAATTTAGGTTTTTAACAGACATTTGTGCAGTTGTGGCAAAAATCGGCTGAAAGAAATGCCCATTGCAGCATACATAACACCAGGCCTAGGTTTTATTAAAAAGGAAGTTATAATAATCATTTTCAGGATTCTGTCAATATCTTTACTTGTTAATATTAGAAATACAGTAGGTTTATCCAGTTTGAAGCTCAGCTGCACTCACTCTGTTTGACCACTGAGTGGTGTCTTTGATTCATCCTGCATTTTGGCTTGAACTGGCAGTAAAACATGAGTGTCTGCAGTAAAATAGTTTGTCCAAAATTCAGTTTTAAAGTTGTTGTCTGAGATTTTGCTTCTTGAAAGAATTCAAAGGAATTTAAACCGGAGTGGCCACTACGCTCTGAGTGATTATGCAGCCGATATCAGCTGTGATGAGTATAAGTGGATGTCATGAAACCTAAATTCATGTCTACAGATGGAAAAACACTTGTAATTCAGTTGACTTAAAGCAAATGGCAAAGGAAAAATCACTGCAGTGTCTACGTGTCTCAACAGAGATGTCATATGTTTTTATGGTATTTTTAATTTCTACAACATCACTGTGTATTCAATACTTAATAATATGTTGCTTAACAATAAGATAATGTAGGTTTTACTGTTGATACTTTTAAGAAATATTATAGTGGTATGACACTGTTTTCTTGTGGCATTCAGTAGATTTTGATTCTTGTGTATTCCAATTTTATTATGCTTAATTTTTTTTTACATAGAAAGAAAGTGATTCTGATTAAACATTAGTGTGTTCAGGTTAATGTAAGGACAGCATGTCAGTTCAACTGATTCAAAACATCGTAGATGGCTGCTGGAGTTGACGAGGATCTCCTACCCCCTTCTGCCCACTTTTTGTCAGGTTCATCATTTCTCTTCCTAAACCACACTCACGCCTTCACACACACACACACACACACTACACACAAACAAAAACCCAGATTCAGTTTTTGTTATTAGATATGACACAAGAATTATATTATAACAAAATTAAATCACAAGTGAATTTATTATAAAACAGATGTTTTTCATTTAATCGAGCACGCTCCACAACACCCCAGACAACCCTAAAACCTGGGAGACCCTCATTAAATATAAATGTCAGCACAGTATGCATAAGTCATTATGATTTAATGTAGTGGCATTGTTCAGCTACCTTTTGTTAGTCTTCCTAATGGCTAATTTATCTGTTTTATCTTTGTTTAGTCACATGACTGTATAGTAAAAGACAAATTTGGATATTACAGGAAAAAACAAATAGCTTTTTTACATTTTGACAAGAGTTTTATGAAAACATTGATACTGCTGTTCTGTCTTTATGCCAAATACAAAGCTACCAAGCAGCACACAAACAAAATCTGTGACTAGCTGGTGAATATAGTGAAGTGTTTAGGACATCAAGAGCCTATTTCCCTCAGGGAGTTGGTAGAGACCACAAACAGAGCTTAAAGTGAATGAGAATTGGAATTAAATTTGCCACAACTCCAAAGGATTGATAGTAATTCTTCATAATTGCAGTGTATGTTAATTAGCATCTGTTTGCTAACAAGTTCGCTGCATCAACTTAAACGTATTCTGTTTTGTGTGGAGTCCAAGCTGATGTGCATGCACCTTTACCTTCCACACTTAAACTCAATGTTGCTCCTGTTTGGAAAAGGCCAGTCTTTGGAAGTTTTTTTTCAAGACCAAAGAAATGCATCAAGCAGGAAAAAGAAACACCACTGTGTGCAGGTGTGGTGTTTGTGCCCCTCCACCTCTCCCTCCTGACGTTTCCAGGCACTTCCTCCTCCTCTGCTGAAGGAAAACTTTAATAATTAAATGTGCTTCATGTGCTGTCAGAAGGATTTGGGAGGGTGTTGCCATAGCTTTATATAAACACTGACCCATTTCTTTTCACTGGGACAGCTGACTATTGGTTTCTAAAAAAAAAAAAAGAAAAACCCATGGGTTATGACTCAGGGCAGCACATTTATTTGCCTTTAGAACACACACCTACAGCAGGACTCTGTGTGTGTGTTTGTGTATGTGCAAAACGTCAGTAGTTTAGGTTTCTCTCCAGGGTCAAAGCTTTATTTCCACATCTGTTTTCAAAGTATGGTGTGACAAGTATCACCCAGTTCATTTAGTTAAGCATTGTTTAAGCTTATTAACCTATCAACCTGTCTGCAAAATATGTGTTCATAAACCTTTCACTCATTTATACAGTACCAGCAACATTTTTACTTTAAGGGAAGAGAGTGTTAGAGTGAGTCTGTCTGTGTCAGATTTACCTTTGTCTCTTTCTTTGTTTTGCCCAATAAATAAAATGTTTCCTGTTTGCCATGATGGCCCAGTGTGGTACCACCTGGCAGTGTTGAACGAAAACTTATAGTATCACCCATGAGCTGAGACCCCAGCTACTTAAACCAGACTGAAGGAGATACCAGAATAATCCATTAAAATCTAATAATTGTTTTAATTTTGTATTGGTATCCATTATAAGGGTGCTGGTAGCACAGAAAACTGCTCGCCATCTTAGCTACAAGACTGAGACAGAATAAGGACAAGTTAAAAGACAAAACAAGCTGATGCCTTAAAACACAGCATGATATGACAGGCACTTTTAGAGGAGGAAGCTGGATGAACAGCAGGTAGGACATCAATGCTCATGCTGGTGTGCCACTGAGCCAGCAGGCATCTGTGCTGACAGCAGCTACACAGGGGACAGTGAATGTTCACTGCTCCAGTGTTTTCACCTCTTGACTGATTCTATTTACTTGTGAGAATGACGTGATTCGCCTCCTCTATGTGTGCAGCTCGCCAAAGCTGGGAGCCACACCTTCACAGAGAAGAGCTTCAAGAGGAAAGGAATATGTGATGTGTGCGAGCAGAACATCGACAACCCCGGGGCTTTGTGCAAGGGTGAGTCCATGTCTCAGTCAAGTCAGGCAGCAGATCCAGAGACACAGCTGACCAGCACTGATATAACCTGATACACACCTGTGTCAAAGCTTATTTTCAAAGTAAAACATGTTCCTCTCCCTACTGTTTGCAGCATGCAAGGTTGCAGTTCACAAGGCATGTGAAGCCAAGGTAAGCTTTACATTACTTCTTCTTCTCTTCTTGTGCTCCTGTGTCAGAGGTTGCTGGCTAACAATGATAATGTGATGTGAAGTGGAGTAAGCCATGTGCACTGACCTAGATGTCTGGTTAAAGAAGGCCTTCCCCTGAACTGCCATCACTTAGGTTGCTATGAGTAATTTGGTGATGTGGTAATGTGCATAGCAGGAGGTCAAGAGTCCTCAAGCATCCAGCAAGTCTCAGTATATAAATGACTCTTTAATACATGTTGAGTTTAAGTGTTCAGGGGGGGGCGGGAGCCAGTCCCAGCTGACATTAGGAGAGAGGCAGGGTCCACCCTGGACAGGTCGCCAAGCTGTCACAGGGCTGACACTTAGAGACAAACAACCACACACACCCACTCACTCCTATGGGTGATTTAGAGTTGCCAGTCAACTTAGATTAATGTCTTTGGACTGTGGGAGGAAGCTGGAGTACCCAGAGAGAACGATGCAGGCACAGGGAGAACATGCAAACACCACACAGAAAGGCCCCAGATCATCCGGGGGTTCAAACCCAAAACCTTCTTGCTGTGTGGCAACAGCCCTAATCTCTGCCACCATGCCATCCAGTATGTATGCTTATTAAATTATATTTTACACAATACTCAGTGCTGTTGTGTCTGAGGAATGCTCTCAGGATCAACAGGAGGCAGTAGTGAGCTGTCTTGGTGGTCTGTGTGTGCAGTGAGACGTCAAAAGAGATAAAAACAGGAGAAGCTGCCCTGCTTAGGGAGACAGCAGCTGTGTTTATCTGCTAATAAGAAAGTCAAAAACAATGGCAGACAAGTGGCTTCTGATGTGGCTCAGGGTAACTGTAAGCTCCTTGCTTGAAATATGCACTCACAATGTAGTGTGTTTAATGCAGTCAGTGTTCACTGCTTGAAACTAGTACTTGCTCTGCTGCGGGAACTCCAGTTGTCTAATTATTGGTACTAAGAAAGAAAATAGCCCATAACACTTTCAATCACTGTCTTGTCTAATAAAGGCATTTTAGTCCACTGAATTCCCTCAGTGTCCCTGACCACCCCTGAGATTTACCAACAGCTACGAGTGAGGACTGTGTGTGTGTATGCAATGTTTAAACATGGTAAGAACTGTCCACATTATAAGTAATGTTGCACTAAATCATGAAGATTGTGTTTTGAGGAAGGTGCCCAGTCTTTGCTGTTTTTAGTTTCATTTATTTTGCAGTGTCTCTCTCTCCACAGCTCACTGTATGTCAAACCACTGGCCTCTGCATGTGATCACACTCATAGCAGCTCAGTATCTCACAGCCCTGAGTGATACTGCATGACCTTGCATGACCTTGCTGTAACTGTGCTGTTGTGCTTTACTGTCCTACAGCACAAACACAAAATAACCCCATTACGTTTGCATGCTGACTGTCACGTGGAGGAACCCGTCGCTTCTATTCCCAGGTTCTTAAGGTCAGGCTCAAATCCTGTGGGATTTCAAACAGGGTGGGGGTTGCCCTCCTGTCCCCCATTCCTCCACACACACACTGTAATGGTGTATGACTGGGGACTACCAGCTGTTGTGGCTTCGCAGCCTGTATTAAAAGAGGATTATTATTTTTGTCATACTCATCCCCCTGGCCACCACAGCAATAGCCAAACACAACTCGTGGTGGCTGCAGGAGAGGCAGGCGCCACGGACGAGAGTGGACATCGTCACACACGATGATGATCAATCTGGATATGAGAAGTCTGAATGGGTAAATATAGAAAATAACAGGAGTGCTGTAGATGCCTTCCAGTGAGTGATCATGTGGGGACACAAATAAATGAGAAGCAGGTGTGGAGGGCAGACTGTGTGTGTGTGTATAATCAGTCCCATTTGAGAGTATTCATAAATAAAGGGAAACATTGGGTCAAGGCTGAAAATTGGTGCCTGCTTCATGTCACGCTATCCGTCTTTTGTATGTGTCTTCTATGTGTCTCAAATGTCAACCTGCTGCTTCCTTTCTCTCTTACTACTTTCATCTCTTGCATCTTATTGTCATCATCTATTTGCCACTGTTAAATTTATCATTTTCTGATGTTTTATAGTCTATATTAAACACTAAAGTTTCACTTTTTCTTGCTTTTGTTGTGCATATTCTCTATTTGTCTGTCTCACCTACACTATTTTTAACTAATTCTGCCTCTTTGTCCTGATTTTGAATATTGTTGTGTGTGAGTGCATGTGCGAGTGAAAGTATTGCACAGTTGATGTGTTTTAATGTCTCTCTGTGTATGACATAGGCAGTGAGAGAGGAGAGCTACTGGCACACTTGGAGTGTGTGTGTATTATAGTGAGAGAGGGCGGGAAGTAAAGTGAGAGAAAGCAAGCAGAGAGTTTATGAGTGCGCAAGAGAAAGAGAGGCAGTGTATCACACTCTACAGACAGGACTGCTCAGAGGCAGAGGGAAAGACTGAAGCTGCTTGTTAAGAGGTAAAAAACAGCACAGTATTTACTGAGTAAGGCTTCGGGTTTAGTTTATTCATATATATGTACTCGGCACATCAATTTGGACTTTTCTTGGATGTATTTTTCTTCTTTATTTAGTCGCAATCTTTAAATCAATTCCACAGAGGTTGCAGCATGTGATTGTGCATATTATTCCATTAAAACTGTAGTCAGAGCGCTGCTGTGCTGCTGAGAAACAGGGTTTCATTTAATGTGATTAAACAAGTGCTGTGATCTACAAAAAACCTACACCAATTTTCATTTTTAATCACCACAGATAAATTCTTAAGATTTACTTTTTAATGAGACTGGTTAGATCAAGCTGGTGCAGGTTAGCAGATTATTGAAACTGGTAACACCAGCCCTATTCCATACACTACTATGCAACATGCAGCCAAGCTGTGCCAGCCTGGTTATATCTATCTATCTATCTATCTATCTATTGTACAGTATACTTCTCTAACAATGACATTTCCCACAGCATATATCTATATCTAGTGTATCTATTTCACCACTGCTTCGACATGTCAGTGTTACATGTTACAAGGCCACAAACAAACGGCTGTATCCTGGACCCAGTCTTCTGTCTTAACATCTAACTGATTATCCTAATGTTGAGTAGTGAAATACAGATGGTTTCAGTGTCTGCTCATACACACCAGCTGTTCTGCTAGTGTTTCATGCTGATTTATGAATTGATACAGCTATTGTGATGCTTTAAGGGCTATGTGTTTATGTAAGAGGCACGTTTAGTACACAGTAGTGTTATCCAGTGTCAGCGGAGCAGGAACAGATGGGCAAAGTTCCCTGTAAGGTGTTTCTGTTGTTTGTGTCTCTCCACAAGGGGCCGGGTGGACATGCTGTTCTGTGGTAGCACTAAGTGTCATAGTAAGGTGGTAGAACTGAATATTGTGGATAGAAAACCCTGTCAGATGAACATCTGTGTAACCTGATTAAACAGGGCTTACTGCTGTGACATTGTTGCTGCTACTTATAACCATCAGTAGCATGATGTACTGTGCAGAAAATAGTGGCTAATAAAGGTATCACGGTTAATTTAATTTTACTGCTTTACTTGTTTACCGTAATATTCCAGGATTTATACAGTCCTTGTTGTTTGGCTGCATCATAATAATGCCTTTAAAAACTATCTGAGTTTAGACAGTGCCATTTGTAATACATTTCTTTTGATATATGTATGTTGTTAGGCAAAACACTGAGGACAAAACACACATGTACTGTAGCCCTCATGCAGTCACATAACATATCAAGTACAGATCAGTTGTCAAAGTACTCCAGTTCAAGAAATACCAGTTATTATTACTCAACCTTAAGTAGCATGTCCATGGTGCAAAACCTACTTTAGTGCACTGATTGTCCACAGTAAGTTTAGGGTGACAGAAAAAAAAAAAAAAAAAACAACAGGAGCTCTATCAAAATAACACTGTGACATTTCTCTGCTTGGTATCAGTGGTCAGCTGCTGACATCCTTCTTCTATCCAGCGCTCACTCTCCCTTTCTGTGTCTGTTTGCCTCTCTTCTTTCCTCTTCCCTTTCTTTCTACTCCCAAGAAAGTTTTTTTTTGCTTTAAATTCTTGTTTGTTCTTTTTCTTATTCCCCTCTTCTCCGGGCCAGTTACACAGCGATTTACCCTGGCTATGGGTGATGCTTATCAGGATGTTTTTCGTCATCTGATGTTGTTTATTCAGGGGAAGAACATGCTTGTATGTCACGGCAGGGATGACTGTGGTCATCCAGTCCCCAGGCAATGAAAGTGGAGAGAGAGCATGTGAGGTAGTAGGGGAGGGTGAGGCAGAAGGGAGGACAGGCTGCAGGGGATAGGAAATGGAGAAATAAGGGATCAAAGAAGAGAGAAAATAGAGGAAGTAGAGCGATAATGAGAGAAGAAAGAGAGGGGGAGCTGTACTTTCACGTGAGGCTGCCTAAATCGCTGCCCCTCCAAGATTTGCCTTCTGGTGCCCTGTGTAAAATGTTAACAGTCTGCTCGAAAGTAAAAAAGCCTCCGATTTTTGTTTAGCTTTCCATAGACTCTGCGCAGGCATTAGTGTCTTTTTTGTGAGACTGTGGAACTTGGAATAAGCCATGATTATTTTGTTTTTCCAGTTTCAAATAGAAAAACTTACTCACTTCTCCCTCTCCAGTGTGACGCCAGCTCTGAGTTGACTGTCAGAATGAACCATGTTCCTCCTGGATGGTGTACTGACGCCTACGTCTAGAGACACATTTATCTGCTCCTACCCTGTCAGTGACTGGGGTTCTCCTCAGGATTGTATGAAGACCTTGAGGCTTGCAGAACCACCAAAGACACATGCTTAGTGTACTCTCCATGTGTGAAACTAGGCTGACCAGAACTGACAGACTGTTGCAAACTGCTTCCGTTGAGGCTTGCAGAACCACCAAAGACACGTGCTTAGTGTACTCTCCGTGTGTGAAACTAGGCTGACCCGAATTGACAGACTGTTGCAAACCACTTCCAGTTGAGTCTGTCATCTTCCACCTCTGCCTTTATGCTGCATATCAGTGCTCTCTGCCTCCAGGTTCAACCCTGGTCTTCACCTCTGTGCATGTGTGCGTACGTTTGTTTTTATACATGGTATATATTCCTTCCTCCCTGACCATTTTATTCTCTTAGCTACCGTTATTAAATCTATTAAAGCTGCAGTTCTCCCCTATGGCTGGATCTCTTTCATTTCTTACTGTAGGTTTTATAACATGATCTGTCCTTGTACACTAACACTGTGTACATTTTGTACTTACAGTACTACAAAATATGAAAAGAACTCATCAGCTCTGTATTTATTAATTTTTCTTTCTGAGAAGTTGTAGAGAACTTAAATATGTGCTTAACAATCACTTGTGGCGGCGACCATGGTGCGGTGGTCTCCCAACCACAAGGTTGGAGGTTCAAATCTCGGTGCCGGCAGTCCACGTGTTGAAGTGTCCTTGGGCAAGACACTGAACTCCCCCGTTGCCCCCAATGGTTAGAGCCATTGGTTGAGTTGGCGCCGCAGATGGCTGCCATCGGTTCTGTACCGGAAACAAATTCCATGTGTGTGTAACATACTTGGCTATACATTCATTCTATTCTATTGTAGTGAGCATTAGTTGCCTTTATTGTTGTCAAATTTAAAGCATGGGGAGTTTATCAGGCACTCCATTAAACCGCTGGCTAACGAAGCTATAAACTTGAATTTAATTATAAAAATATCTAGAGCATTTCAACAGACATCGGCTTGTTCTCTGTACCTACAACTGCATATTACTGCTTGGTTGCTGATGTCGTCTTGATATTGTTTCAGCTGTAGATCATTGTGATTGTTAGGCATTTAACTTGGTAACCTGTTGATCACATATGCACAAAGGTTGACAGGGTGTCAATGTTTACAGTCAAAACCCATACATGTAGTTGTGCCACAGCGCTGAAAGGTTTCTCTTCCAGAGCCCTTTTTTAAGTGCTAGTGCTATTAATGTGCTTTCTTATTTATTTTTCACCTTGTGGTTGTTAATTGTTTGATGCAATTTGAGTTATAAATTATTTAATCTCATGAGGCCATTAGTTGCGTCGGAAAATAAACACAATTCTCAATGGACCCATTTCTACTATTGCTACTATATTAAACGATCCAGAGGAGAATAAGCTGCAGGAACCTATTTGGATAGCAGTGCATGTATCCGTGACACCAACTGCCATCTTCTCTCTCTCTGTTTATGTGAGTTTGTGGTTTTGCCAAGTAACTACTGCTTCACCAGCAAAACAGAGTACAAAGGCTGCACACCATATGTAGCTTTACTCCGGTTATCTCTCTCCTGTCCTTCTTCTTTACGAGCCAAAAAAGCATAATCAGTCATTTTTATTGACTGTCTATTGAGCTCCTTTTTCTTATGCGAGTGCCTGGTGAGCCCCATAAACATCTTACCCAGTGTCCCAAAGGTCTGTACATACTGTATGTGTTGACCTGCATGTGGGTTCTGGTTAAAGTGTGTTTGAATGTGTGCATGTCTGACATCATGTGTCACTAGTACATCATATGGAACAGCTAAATCTTTGTTGACACCCTCACCCTCAAACCAGCTGCTGCAGATGGCTGAAAGGGAGTGAGAGTGAATCTTGTTCTCAAACACCCTTACCCCTGCAATCAATCATTGCAGCGCAGTTACTCTGTTGTTTGTTTTTCAGAACGGTTCCACTAAATCTGCATCACAGAAGAAGAGGGGCTCCATACAAAGGTACCACAAATCACACATTTTGACAAAATAAAATGATATTTGATATGTAAAATGGCTGCAGACAAAAAAAGCTAACTAAAATCAACATTTAGGACTTTTGATTGCCTAATGGGTGTTTTGGCTGCACTAAAGAAAAAGGATTCTCACAATGTGCAGGAATAAAAGTGTGGAACAAGTGATGGAGCATGTGATGGAGCACCACTATGACTTTGACCTCACCTACATCACAGAGAGGATCATCTCTGTCTTCTTCCTGCCTGACCTGGAGGAACAGCGATACCGCAGAAACCTACAGGAAGTGGCCTCCATGCTAAAATCCAAGCACCAAGACAAATTTCTGGTTAGTATCAGAAGCATAAAACACAAGGCATTTAAGTGTAATGTTGTGGTTTGCCTTCTAAAAGGACAAAACTATTGTCAAATTTAGGTAATACTAAAGGATTTATATGTGCCTAACCAGAAAGGTTATTGCTTTCAGACCGTATCTGTGATGGATAGGGGCTTTTAAACTATCAAACCATTCCTCTCACTGTTTACTTTAAATATATAGTTTTGATCCATTTGTGAAAATAGATTTGTGATATCCTCTTAACTGTCTTTGACTTTTCCAGCTTCTAAATCTATCAGAGAAAAGGCACGATATCACCAGACTTAATCCAAAGGTACCTGACAAGATATCAAGTCACACACTACTTTCTGACACACATTAACTGTGTATGTGAGATGTGTAACTCGCTGTGTATTCTGTTGTGGATTGTGGTTCAGGTGCAGGACTACGGCTGGCCTGATCTTCACGCTCCACCCTTGGACAGGATTTGTGCCATGTGTAAAGCCATGGAGATCTGGCTGACCTCTGACCCCAACAACGTAGTGGTCCTCCACTGCAAGGTTTGTACGGACTGAATCAACAAATGCGCGTTTGCTGTTAAAAATTGTAAAACAAAAAAAGCTACTCGATAGTCACTTTGAATTATGTTCTGACAGGGAAACAAAGGGAAGACTGGGGTCATTGTGGCATCATACATGCACTACAGCAAAATATCATCTGGGTAATCTGCATTATTATTATTATTACTAGTCTAACAAGGCACACCTTTGTGTCTCAGTTGTTTCTTTTTCCAGATAGTTTTTTGTCATCATGGTCAAAACTATTGTTGAATACATTCACATATTCATTTTTGTTGGCAAGCTCTATCCAATATAACAACTAAGAGTCATGATTTACTCATTAGCTACAACAGACATACTATAACTTGCAAATCTGTGCTTGCACAGATCTGTAATAAAGCATTTATTCTTACATTTCTGGTTGGGTCCACAGAGCAGATCAGGCTCTCACCACACTGGCCATGAGGAAGTTCTGTGAAGACAAAGTCTCCTCCTCCCTACAGCCCTCTCAGAACAGGTCTGACAAATATTACCTCTTGTCATGCTGCTGTCATCACCTCAGTCATTCTCTGTGTCATCACATCGTCTCCTCGCCTCTTTTCTTCAAGGTACATCTACTACTTTGGTGGTTTGCTGTCAGGCACCATCAAAATGAACAGCGGTCCACTTTTCCTCCACCAGATCCTCATTCCCTCGCTACCAAACTTCCAGGCTGGGGGAGGTTAGTTTTACATATGCTAATGTTGCCGTAATGGTGATTCTGTTCACTGAACAGTGAATAGAAAGTGTTTTACTATGTCAAGAAACAAAAACACTAAAGCTTTGTTTGCACATTCTTCTTCATTTTGGTTGCTGTTCACCATCTCTCTTTATTTGCAGGTTTCTATCCTTTTCTGAAAATCTACCAGTCTCTGCAGCTGGTCTACACTTCAGGTGTCTAGTAAGTACACGGTCAGTCCTCCAGGTGTACCACTATTTTCAGCTCATGTCTTGTGGGCAGACTCCTTTCCATCCTGTCGTCTGTACAGGCTGCTGTCTGTGTTTAGGTGTTGGCTGGTCTGTGCTTATGTTAAAGTTAATGTTGTCTGCCAGTATTTTACCAAGGTGAGACATGTTTTGACTGGTTTTATGTATATTTTAAAGTGGTGCGCCCAATTTTTATGCTGTATATTGTATATGTGTGTGTGGCCCGGTACTATTCATGATGCGGGGATGTAAACCTGGTTACATGGTCACAGTGTGGGAACTTTATATCCTTAAAAAGTAAGTCCCCAAAATGTAAAACATTACATGTTAGAGTGATAACTTGGATTAAGGTTAGGGTGAGATTAGGGTTAGACAAGTAGTGGTTACAATATGTCTCCAGGAAAAGAATGTACGTCAGTGTAATGTCCCCTGAAATGATGGAAACACAATGTGTGTGTGTTTGTGTGTCCAGTGATCCCCAGAGCTCCAGAGCGAGGAAGCTATGTGTGACTATGGAGCCAGCTCTATTATTGAAGGGGGACATTATGGTGAGAAAGAGATAATCATGCCACTCATGGAAGCCTTGCTTTGACTTAGATCCCATCATATCCACCCACACCCTACATCACTGCAATAACACAGTTGTTTTTATGACTAAATCCTGTAGTCAAAGACTTCAGTTCCTAGACTGCTCTAAATACATTTGTCTTTCCTGACTTTTAATCACTTTTTTACTTTGCCTTTAAAAAGTTTTTGATTATTTTTAAACCACATGAGCTACAAATCCTGGGTAGACTACAAATATGCATGTTGTTTGCTTGAGAGGGCAAAATCATTCAAAGCCATTAGTAAGCTGTTTTATCACACTTTCAATTACTAAGTCTACTAATAGATCAGTATTTTTGAAACATTTAATGTGAAATCAACCTTAGTATTTGTACATTACTCTCTTATCTGCGTCTCTGTTCACAGTTAAAGTGCTACCACAGGCGCGGTCAGACAGCAGAAAGGGAGGTGGTCTTTAGAGTCCAGTTCCACACCTGTACTGTTCATGGAGCCCAGCTGTGGTTTCGCAAGACTGAACTGGACCTGGCCTGTACAGGTATAAAATCACAGAAATGAATGGAATATCAAGTAAGAACATTTAAGTTCTTGGACATACATATAGGCTACCTGCAGAAAGGTACAGGGAGAGAGAGAGGACACACTACGGGAGAGAGGAGACACAAAGTTAGTGACTCATAATGGTGGGCTATAGATGGATGGAGAGGAGAGGAGCTCAGAGCATCATGGGGAGATCCTATTCATTTTGATTATCAATAGTGAAACAAGTTCCTTTATTGATTAACTTTGGGTTTTCTGATTCACAAATCACTATTTCTCTGTAGTTACGGTGTGGATATTTTAATCACTGCCTTTATGCTTATCTTTCCATAGATGACAGGTTCCCTCCTGACGCTACAGTTGAGTTTATCTTCTCCAATGGACCTGAAAAAATGAAAGGTGAATGTCATCACCTGTCTATCATGGCATCTTTTTTACATTTCAGGAACCTTATGTCTTTCTTTTTTAGATTTGTACATTATTCATATCAAAATATCTACTTTCCAAGGTCGAGAATACTGCAAGAATGATGCCTCTATCAAAGTGGACTTCAACACTTCAGATCCCGTAGTCAGATGGGATTCCTATGAGAACTTCAATCTCCATCATCAAGACAGCATGGAAAGTAAGAAATATATCACATAGGAATGCACCATTTTACTTTAATGAGGAAAAGTCAAATATCAAGTCACACTCTTTACTTTCTTCTCCAGGTATCTCTCATACACGGGGCCCTCTGGATGGCAGCCTGTATGCACAGGTGAGGAAGCGATGTGGGCCAGGCTCCACTGCCTCAGCAGCATCGCCCAATGGATCCCTTACTGGCAGCCCAACAGTGAAACCCCAAACTTCCAGTCAGCCCCAGTCTCTCTCCAACACCCCTGACTCCAGCCGCTCCCCAGTACCTTCTGATCACCTCAAAGATGCTTCTCTATCCATAAACTGCCATGAGAGAGAAAGCACTGACTGCCTGTTGAGGAGAGGAGAAAGAGAAGATGGAGCAATAGGGAAAACAACAGAGAAAGAAAAGGACAGAGAGACAGCAATTTTAGATGACGGAGACCCATCAGGTCCAGGAGGTTTGAGGCATGGGCACTCGTGTTGCAGCCGAGCAGGCATAAAGTGCACCGGTGTGGGATGGGAGAGCGAGAGAGAACCCTGTCTTTGTAATGGTCACTGTCTTGGACGTTGTAACAGCACTAAAAAACATCCAAAAAGCCAAACTCTGCCCACTATACCATCCAAATCTGTGTCCCCTCCACTTCATTCAACTTATATGGAACTCTGCCACCGCCATAGTGCTCGTCGTTTACCAGAGTTACCATGGGAACATCCACCCGCACCTCCACCTTGTATCCACAGGCCATGCTACCCTTATTCCACTCTTGAACACCCACACCCACACAGTCACACCCTCCCAGCCTCAAACAGACTCTATAGTGGGGAAGAGTGTCATCTCTTCCATTATTCCATGTCCAGCCCAGCCGCTCATCTCACCCATCAATCAGTGCCACCCAGCCCTTACAGGGAAATGTTCTTCAGCACTCCATCATCATCCTCTGGTTGCCCCTGTCGGAACTGCTCCAGCAGGCGAGAGCATCAGTCATCCTTAGTCAGAACACTGCACCCAGTACATCCAGACCTATCAGAAAACTCTAACTGGTCCCAGGCAGCAGGGGCACAACAAACAAGAGATGCGCCTCCACTGTGGGAAAGGGAAAACCCATGGGAGGTGGCGAGAGAGGCAGAGTTATGGCAGTGCAAGTCAGCCATGCCAGTGTTTCGTGTCTGCCACTCATCTTTGGATCAGGGTCCAAATCCGGAGCAACCTAGATTTGCCCACACACCTCACCAAAACTACCCCAGACCACAGGCCCTGATGGATGTGCGAGATGGATCCAGCAGTGAGTGCCACACCCCTCCGCTGCCCTGCCACTCATGCTCCTGCTCTCCTTATCAGTCCTCCCCAGCCGAGAGCCATGAGAGCAGGGGTTACGCCTCTGGGTACCACTCTGGATCAGTCTCACCGCTGCCCACTGGTAGCCCACCTCCAGGGAGAGGCAGGCTGTTTGAGACACCACCTAGATCCAGAGAACAGCAGAAAACTGGAGGTGAATGCTGAATACAGTGGAGATTGTCTTTTTTAACAATGAACTAATTGCATCATTTTTTCTAAATGTTGTTATAAGTTAATCTTGTCTTATCTTACCTTGCTTCCCAAAGTAGAAATGACCAAAACTAGTGTGGAGGATGACATATTCCAGGGTTCAGAGAGTAAATCGGACTCCAATGGCCAGTCAAGCACCCCCGGACTGGACTCTGATCATGACTACACACTTATCGGCAGCAGCAGCCCTACACACACTGAAGATAGGTGAATGAAACTTTATTTTGACACCTACTGGTGCTGAAAATAAAATCACATTTATCAACATATACAGTATGTAGATGATTATCTGATTTTTTTTTCATATTTTATCCTCAGTGTAACTGCTGATAGCCCCCCTCAAAGCCAAGAAACCTGTACACATCTGGAGTCCAGCACAAATAGCAGCAAAACTATCACACCAGTACCAACAGAAACACAAAGCCAAAGTTCCAACATAGCCACAAACTGCACACAACCATCAAGTGAGTCTTCCATGAGTTTGAGTTCTGATGGTAAGATTGGAGCAGCCAAGACTACAGGACGTGCAGAGGGATCTAACCAATCGCATGCTTCTAGCTATGCTGCTGTCTTCATCACCCCAGTCCAAGTGCAACTCAATGGTTCTGCCCTTCCCAGCAGTACTCCAGCTCACAGTTTCAGTTCCAGCTCTTCCACCACTTCCCCAAATTTACCTGTCGGCTCCCCAGAGCTGCAGTCTTCTCCCCAGCGCTCCCAACTGGCTACAGACTCGGCACGATATAAACTGGCTCCAGACAAAGACAGCTCAGCCGATAACAAACCTCCATCACCTGTGCCTGATGGGTATCACACACCAACTTTTCCCTTAGCATCCTATTATTACCCCTTACTGAACGTCCCCCACGTCCCATACACCGGATACACTGCAGTCAACATCCCTGCCATCCAGCCACCACTCCCCGAGAAGAAACGTCTTTCCTCCACAGCAGGATACCTGAATGGGCACAACTCTCTTGCCAGAGTCTCCTCAGTGCCTTCTCCCACACACCATTTTACCTTCTCCCCCACAGGGGAAGAGCAGCGACGAGGGTCTGCACAGCCTAGCTGTAGGGAGGAGGCAGACATCAGGGTGAATGCTAAGTTTGTCCAGGACAGCTCCAAGTACTGGTACAAGCCAGGCATCTCCAGAGACCAAGGTGAGGAGCACAGCATTTGTAGCCATCCAGTTTTTTTTTAGCGTTGATGAGTAAGCAATACTGTGTCTCTCATATTACACCATACTATTGTACTGTAGCCATAGCTGTGTTGAAGGACAAGGAACCAGGAACCTTCCTCATCAGGGACAGTAACTCCTTCCAGGGGGCCTATGGTCTGGCCCTCAAAGTGGCCACCCCTCCTCCTAATGCCAACATCACTGCCAGCAAAGGTATCTTTTTCACAATTTTACACATCAAGGTCATAGTTGGTATTATTCAGCTAATGAAAACAGTTATACAACATATTCTGTGGCTCTGTAGGGAGCTTCATCCAGGTCTGAAACAATAACCTTGAAGATGTCATCGGGGTTATCTTGGCTTGGGCTTGAAGATATAAATTTTTAATAGAATGCCTATATTGCTTTATGGAAAATATATAGTTTGATCTGTTGTTGTTGGAGCCTGAGGTTTCGATTTCAACCCCAAGGGTATGAGACTGCAATAGTAAATCCCTGGAGTACCCCTTCAGTGTTATTCATCAGGTAGTTTTCTCATTCTCCCACTGATCAAACAATGTTCAAAAACATAAAGGTTACTACATGATTTTTATTCATTTACAAAGTCTTTTATAAACAAAAGCAACAGCTAAATGGTGTGTGAGGTAGCGTTTTCCATAGTTCTGCACAATCTTTAAAAGGCTGTTTAATTAATTACTTTTTTTATCAAGTGTGCATTGTCTACTGTATATTGCTAGTTTGAATTTGGCCAATGTAGACCTTGTTCATGCAGGCCTGTGCTGCATTGATACTGTATCTTTGTTTCTGCTGAAAGAACAGCTGAAGATAAACATTGCTTTTATGTATGTCTGAGACAGTCATGAAATGCATGTGTGAAATAAAAATGAGGCACTGTTGTGATCAAAATAGTCAGATAACATTATGGTTTTGAAAAGCATAATCAGATTCTTATATGTTTCTTGTATGTTTGCTCATGCAGCCTTCATGCTCACTCCCTCCCTTCACACCTTCCTCTTCTCTCCTCAGGGGATCCCGTGGAACAGCTGGTGAGACACTTCCTCATCGAGACTGGCCCACGGGGAGTGAGGATCAAGGGCTGTCAAAACGAATCATACTTTGGTCAGTTATGTGGTAGACACAACTGCCAAAATATGTTTCACATATTTAGTTATGTACAAGATACTGAAACTTTTAACCTGCAACCCCAGAGAAAAGTGTATGTCATTCCCAGCCCTATATTTTTCTCTTTTAATGCTTTCTCATCTGCTCTACATGTTTTCTCTTTCTGTCATTGCCTCAGGAAGTCTATCTGCCCTGGTGTACCAGCATTCAATTACTCCCATTTCTCTGCCATGTGCCCTTCGCATTCCAGAAAAAGGTAATATCAGTATTATTAAAATAATTCATACATAATTAAATACCCACCTTTTCAAATAGGCTTTATCTGTTATCTGTAGGTTATTACAACAACTACAAACTGGGTGCTAAATTATTTAGACAGCAGTGTTATGTAACCGAATGGCATTTCAGATCTGGTCGGGGAGCTTCAGGAGGTGCCGAGTGCGACAAACACCAGCACAGCAGCAGACCTCCTCAAACAAGGAGCAGGTAGCATACAGCCTTTTGTTTTGTTTTTGTACCATTTTGTTTAGATATGAGCTTCGACAGAGGACTGACCACTTGTGGGTTCAGTTGCAGTTGTTACTTTTGCCCAGCAGAGACTGCCCAAGCCATTTTTATTAAGAACTCATGCTGCTATTACTGTAATCCATATTTTTTGTGATGAACAGCTTGCAACGTGCTCTACCTGAACTCTGTGGATATGGAGTCATTGACAGGGCCTGAGGCAGTTTCCAGGGCAACCAAGTGTACTTTGGCTCTGAGTCCACGTCCAGCTGCAACAGTGGTCCACTTCAAAGTGTCCTCTCAGGGCATCACTCTGACAGACAGCAAAAGAAGGTACAGCTTTGACACAACTATCATACTTAGCAACATGATCACATTTCATATTTTCAGTTCAGCTGATTTTAACTGGTAATGAAACTAAAAAAGTGGTATTTATTATTGCATGAAGTTTCTGATGCAGGTCACAGTTTAATATATAATAATATTGTTTATGTTTACACAGGCTATTTTTCAGGAGACACTACCCAATCAATAGTGTCACCTTCAGCAGTCTTGACCCCCAAGACCAGAGGTGGGTCAGTGAGACATTTAGAGAAAAAAAAGATGTCAATAAAAAATGTATGTACTTCAACATGTTGCTGCTGATTACCTTCAGCAAAGGTGGTAATAAGTGTGCTTACTGCTGCTCTGCGGCTTATATTTTATAAATATAAGTTCTGTCTGATTTGCTTGCCTGCTTTTGCCTGTAAAGAGTGAATGAGCAACGCCTTATAAAATTGTCTCTAGTGTCCTTGTTATTCATGTCTTTCAACAATTTGTCTCTATTTGTGTGCCCATACTTCAGGTGGATAAATTCTGATAATACGACAAGCAAGTAAGTGCTTGTGTCAGTGTGCTTATCTTGGCGAGTGATATTAGCGACTGGTACATTATGCTACTTTGCATGGCAATTAATTGCAATCAGATTTGTCATTCTGATTTATTAGACAAAACTGGGTTCATTCAGTGTGAGATATTGTTATGTCTCCTTGTTTTTTGTCTGTCCTCATCTCCTTCTTGCTGCAGGATGTTTGGCTTTGTGGCCAGGAAGACGGGCAATGCTACAGAAAATGTGTGTCACCTGTTTGCAGAGATGGACCCCGAGCAGCCAGCTGTGGCAATTGTCAACTTTATTAACAAAGTCATGCTCGGACCACAGCTTCGTAGATGAAAAAGCAGGAAAATTTGAAAAGTAAACTATTGGAAATCTGGGAGAGATATAAAAATAATTCTGACATATCTTTTAATGAAATGTAACTACACTTAACTGCACTTGTATTTGTGCAGGTGACATCACTGTGTTCGGCTATATGACTGTTTTTATAAGAGAATCTATTTCTGACAGATGACTGGTCTGCAGAGCAAATAATGTCAGTTTACAGAGCAAACACTCATAGATGAAGAGTATGATAAACCAAAGATTGACCTTATTTTGGTAACCTTTGCCTAATAAGATTTTGTTTTTGCTTAGTAATTTTATTTGTGATATTTGTTCAAACTGTACAACATGCTGTACAACAAACTTTACAAACTATATGAATGACAATCTATTTACCATATTTTAACTATGTTGTCCATAATTTAAAGCTAAAGGTACAATGACTTAGAAGGTCTTCACCAATGTAGTAAAATGTAAGAGTCATGCTTTTCTTTTATTTGTAGAGTAAAAGAGTAAAGGAAGTGATCAAATTCTGTATTTTGATTATCTAAGGAGATATCATCTTTGGCTACATTTTAATTCTTTGGTTGCATACATACAGTATTTGTGACAATCTGCATTTTGTTCCCAGTGCAACTATACTATTAGAAAAGTATTCATGTTAATGACAACTGCAAATATAGAATCATATTATGCAAAGCCCACAAACAATTTAAAAAGGGACGGGTACAGTAGATCATTTAACCAAATGTTATGTAGGCACTAGGGGTGTGACTAGATCTCATGCCATGGGGTCTCGCAGTATTAAAATGTGATATTTGTTCAATGTAAAAGCTGCCTTGCAATATCAGTACATAACAGAACCAGAGCAACAGCCAGGTGTGATGCTACTTTCACATTATTAGTCTGGCAAAAACTCCCTGCTGTGTTTTAATGCACAGGCCTGCAATGGTTGGGGGGTGAGGGGTTGCAAGGAGAATGTTGTAGGCGTGTACAATACAGCCACATTGTGAAGAGTCGACACGAGTGCATTCACATTTCCAGCCCATGCGCTTTTTGTTGTATTTTGGTTAGCCATGATGCTAACGTAGCCTACTCTACCTCAGCACCGATTCTACCACTAGTGTGTCTGCACTGATAGATTTAAAAAAGCACAGTTTACCATCCAGTACTAATGAGAATGAATGGTCTGTCATTATGAAGCGTTATACGTGGCCCAAAATCGACAGTGACAAGCAGTGAATGCTTATACTAACAAGGTAAACAAAGAGTCTTCTCCCCGTGGTTGTCCACGGCCCGATCGTCTCCCATATGTGATTGGTCAATGCAGCGCACCGGACCAGATGATGTCACCATCCGGTCCGGTGCTGGGAGAGTGAAAATAGCATAGACGGTCACACACAGCTTCATGCACAGTTATAAGGTCGGAAGAGACTCCTGAAATCCTACAGGAGAGAAGCCAGTCAGTTTGTGACAAAACCTTTTACAGTGCCTGCATATTGTCTTTTATTGCATATGATTCCTTAATTTCTACTCAGAAAGTAGAACTGAAGTGACAGCCATTACAAGATGATTAGTTAAAAAAATGTTCAAAATACACCTGCACTGTTTAGCATTTTGTGACTGCCAGTTGAATAAAAGACTATTTTTCCAGTCATATTTTTCGTCACTGAAGATTTTTTTAAAATAGTGTTAAAATATCATCTTGTTTTCGTGAACTCAACATCATGCATAGTCTCGTCTCATGAGCTAAGTGTATCGTCACACCCCTAATAGGTACTAACCACAAATTAAGCAAGATGTGAGCCTTAAAACTGAATTAATTCATTCAAAAAATGATGAATATTTAGAATTTTCTCACAGCTACAAATGATAATAAATATGTCTCATCAGAGGAAAACTAAACCTAAAATGTCTGTAATGTTATAATACTTCAATGTTGATAACGCCATTACATTAAAAAGCCAGAAGTCTCTCGACATCACAGGTGTCTTGGCCATTTTAGTTTGTTTGTCTTCATTTACATGACTTATTTAACAAATATCCATGGATACACTTTTTTTTAAATAGTTTAACTTTATGCCAAAGACTTAATTACCATGTCAAGATATTCTAAAGGGTCATGTTTTGTTATCACTATCTACATTTGGTATTTTTTTTAGTTTTCTATAAACTAAGATAATATTTAGTTGACTTCAGCAGAATTAATATTTTTCAATCTGGATTTTTTTGTAAAAAAAAATTAATATATTTTAGGCCTCTGAGGTTGGATTAGAAAGAATGGTGTAAGCTGTCATATTTAACAAGAACATTTAAGTAATAAAACTAAAACAAATACAAGTCTGTGCTTCGTTACTAAAGGTTTCATGCAAAATACATCTTGAGATATTCATTTGAAGAGCAATCCATAATTATAACGGTAACAGCAGTTACTTCTTTAGGTAGCCTGTTTGCAGATGATAGTGGAGAAACTGACATATTGTCAGATTTTGCATTTAATTCTTCTAGAAACAACACAGACGTTTATCCATAAACAATGGTACTTTAAAAGGACGAGGTCCCACCGAGATTTGAACTCGGATCGCTGGATTCAAAGTCCAGAGTGCTAACCATTACACCATGGGACCAACCACATACAAACTGCCTGATCCACAGTCTTTATAGAGAGTTGCTACAACTAAATAACCATATTTATTTTATTTATATGTGTCATTTCTCGTTAGCAGCATCACTTCTCTGGTTATATATGTTAACAAGGGGTATAGGGTTATAAGAGAGGTTAAACTCCACACTTAATGGTACCCCGTGTTTCGCCTTTGCTAATTAGATATCGAAAGCTAACCTAGCTAACTCGGATAAGCTAACGGAGCTCGCTGTATGTGAGATACGTCAGCGTCGGAGTGCCAAATATGAGATAGCTTGTTGTTAACATAGACCTGCATTTACAGGTTCACGGTCTACCATGTTACTCTAACCTACAATGCCTTGACAAATACATTACAAGAGGTCTGGGAGTCTCATTACTTTCGCGATACTACTACTACTAGCTAGCTAGCTACGCGTTATCCGATTCAGCTTCGCAAAATAAAAGCTTTGTTTTCAAAATAAAGGTTTGAATTAGATAACTGCTAAGAGGTGTCCGTCAGTAGGCCTATAACGTATTTGGAACTATTTTGTAAAGGCTTTAGACTAAATATTGTGCAGCAACATTTTAATAACAGTTCTGTAACTGATTATTTTTGTGAAAACAATATTCAGCTGTAGGTAGGCCTATGCTGAAAACTAAACCATAATTCAAAGCTACACTTGTTTTGAGTGTTGTTCAAGCCCAGCTGTTTTCCAGGGTCTCACTCCAGCTCCAGTTGACAGGGTTGAGTGATATAAGGAGTTATATGACGTCAGTCATCTAAAATACGATGATATAAGATTTTTTATGATTGTTTATTCTTTGTTGATGAGAAACAAAGAAGGCACCACTTTGATGTAATTGCCTGGAGCTAGCTCAGCTGGTTGCACAGCAGTAAGACCTAGGTGTCAATGGCAGGCACTTGGGATTCATGGCTGGGCAATTTTGAAAAATGCCACACTGTTGAGATTTAGCATTGTAGAATTGTTATAGCACAGGGACCTGTGTGTGATAGTACATAAGTGGGTGATAAATGGCCGTTGTCCCTCAAACTCCCAGAAGAGGGAACTAGAGGGGCTTCAATAGACCGTACTAGTCCTCTTCAGAAGTCAGATCTCCATATTGTAGCTCCCAGCAACTCTCCAGAGGAAAATTATAGGAATGAAAAATCAGAGTCAGTTTCACTGTATCATTAAATTTACAACTGGGTCATGTAGTTGGAGTCCAAGAACACCACCCACCCCCTTCTTGTCTACCTTTTGAGTAATTATAAAAAGAAAAATAACCTTTGGTCTCTTAAGTTAATATTTGAAGAAGACAAAAGAATTCCAGCAATGCTCAAAACTCAGCATTCTGTAACAAATCTTTGAAGATAGGAAAGAGAAAACTCATGAGGTCCCTCAGTAGTGATACTAAACCATATGTTACATGTTAAAACAACTTCTGTAAGCATGGAATGAATGTGTATTATTTGTTTTTATAATTAGCTTCTTTCTTTCTTTTTGTTGGTCTCCTGCAAGCATCCCCTGAGGTAAATGTCCTCAAAGGTTTGTCATTTATTCCCTGTGAGGAACTGTGCTGTTTACATCACCTGCTGTACAGCTGAGACACCATACAGTGATGCAGCTGTTACAAATACTCTTGATGTAGCACATGTGGATGCTTCTTAGGATTTGTGGAATCATGCTAAATTCCCATGTTACTTCGTATTGTTGACCCAAAGAAACTTGAAACTGCTGACTCTCTCCACTTAAGGCATATTGCTGAGGTTGACAGTGTTTACTCCTTGTCTTTGCCACTTTCTGTAGGTGACAATTATCTCTTTCACCTGGTTGTCCTGGCACCATATCAATGGGTCTCACTTCTGCCATTTTGTGAACGACACTGACAAAGTTTTTGTGCAACACAAAACCAGGTTACTTCTTAACCTCTGTTTAGAAGTAGCTGCCTAAAATATCTGCTTGGCCTCCTACCGCAATTATATTTTTGAAACCTGCTATTGTGTGTGCACATGTCTGAATTATACAAATATATACACTCACAAATACACTCACCAGCCACATTATTAGGTACCCCAGTATAATTGTATGCAATTCTGTGCAACACTTCTGCCTTAACATCTGTGTTTATGAAGCTCAAAATGGTTTAGTTTTTGGTGAAATTGTCATAGATGTATAAATTCAATTATGATGTTTGTTGCTGAGGTCATAGTTAAAGGTGGTGTTATGCTGGACTACATTATATTCAGAGGTGTTCCTAATATTCTGACCTTCTCATGTATGTAGCTGGGGAGGACAAAAATATAGAGACACCTAATAATTGAGTTTACACATTTAGATTAGATTAAATTCAGCTTTAATGTCATTACCCATGTACAAGTACAAGGCAACAAAATGCAGCTTAGCATCTAACCAGAAATGCAATAACAGCAGTGCAGAGTGTGCAGTATCTACAGTCTGTACAGTCAGAACTAATTTACTGATGGATATGTACAATTGATATCTACAGTAAGATACTGTATGCAGGGTAATGTAAGATATACAACAGACTAAGATTGAAATTACAAGTAATAGACAAGGTAAATTAAGCTTATGGAACCCTAGTGCAATGGGATGAGATGGATTGAAACAGTGAAGAATAAGAAGATAATAAGTTGCATGAGTGAACAGTTCAATGGATGTAAATAGTGCAAAGATAAAGATAATGGCAAGTTCACCAAAAACCGAAACATTATGAGCTTAATAAACACAGATGTTAAGGCGGAGTGTCGCACTGAAGTGCATACAGGTGTACCTAATAAAGTAGCCAGTGAGTGTTTATTACTGTATAGTAAATAATGTTTCAGAAATCAGGATAGTGCTAAAAGAAGCCAGAAATAAAAGAGAATAAAATAATAATCATATTTCTTCTTCCATAAAACTCAAGAACCTGCAGTACACTAAATGGTTACAGTGATAGCTGTGGTGTAATTTTCAAACTGATGAAAGCGGGGCTGTGCTGTGCCACAAAGTTACATGTGATCAGGAATTACTAGTGTGGGCTTAGCGTGCAGTCTTGGGGGGGAAATGGAGGAAGTGCCCAACTTCACCATCAGTGGTTTGCATATCAGCAAGTCTAGGATTCAGCTGGACATGATGGTGCTAAAACATGGTCCCTGAATAACAGGAGGGAGTAGGGGCAGGGAAGTGTGGAGTTATGGTGACAACATCTTCAATTGATCTATTTGCCCCATGGAAACTGCAGAGAGTGAGCATTGCTTGGGGGAAGTGAGTCTATGCGGGTTTTGATCAGTAGCCCAAGACATCTCATGATGATGGACATGAGTGGGCAGGATTTCCTGGGTTTCTTCAGAACAACAGGACTGCACATTGTTATTGTACTGAAGCATTAAAAACTGGAGCAGTCATGGACTAAATGCATCCAGGAGGACATCTGCCAGCTTAGCGGCACAAGCTGGCCAGAGATGTTCTCAGGTGCTTTAAGTGTGTTAGAGCAGCTGAAGGCTCTCAAATGTGTGTAAGATGTTTTCAACTCTTTTGGCAGGGATACAGATTCATGTGACACATATGGTTTCCCTTTGTGCCTTTGCGATTGTCCTCAGAGTGCCAGAGCTGCTCCTCATGAAGGTCTGTTGACCTATAGTTATTACCTTGCTATTTAGTCTTAGAACACATTAGCTGTATTTTGCACAATAGTCAAATCTCTATGTAATTCCACTCTGTACAAGTAACTTCAGCAAATTATTTTTAAATATTTTAGTTAATCCTATTGTAAATAGAATAACAAGGTTAAAATATACATGCCCTGTAAATCTGCAGCCACATTACTGCTTAGATCTGCCTGATTAATATGTGTTCAACTGATGTATACATATCCTGAACAGTCCCTTTGCATTAGCTTGAAGTCAACCAGGCTGTCCTCAAGGTATATGCCAGTATAAGCTGTTACTATTCAAGTTATTTATGCCTCTGCAGCAGTGCCGCAAAAATTAAGTTATGTAGTTTTAGTGGGTCAAGTGTTTCTGATTTATGATTTCCACTCTCCTTTTCCAAACAGCAAGCCAGCCCACTGTGAAGGGCTGGAGCATCTGAGGACACAGAATGGCTGGGCCAGAATACATGTCTGACCTGAGCGTTGTGGAGCCAAATAAATCCCTGTTAGCAGAATGGCTTGGTCCAGAACTGGTGCCAGACTTGGAAACCACCCAAGCCACAGGACAAGGATCAACTCTCCATGACCATGAACCTAACACCCACACACTGTACTAGCAGTTACTGCACATGAGGATTATGACACATATCTGGTGCTAGAGGGCTCAGCATATGCTAATTCTGAGGTTAAGACAGAATATAAAACTGGACATGAATAATTTGGTGGTTGACAGTGAGCTTTGCACATGTGTGTTTGGGTTTTATGGTGTGACCCTAATTGCTGAGTGTCTGTATTCTTTAGCCACATAGTGGGTAGGCTACAGATTGTAAAACTGTCTCATGTGAAATAAACTATTTATTATTATGAACTATTATTTTGTTTATTGTTAAATGTCTTGTTGTTTGGAGGCAAGACAGCCTTGGCAGGGCATTCAGAACAGCATTGTACAACATAGCTCCAGCATTGTACTGAGTGTTAGATCAATGCAGGGGATAAATGGCTTGTGAGTGTTCCAAAATACCTGATACACATTTCAACGGGAATGATTAGCTTGTTCATAAATATTGTATGAGTACTGTGAGAGGGGTAGGCTAATCAACTATGGCTTCAGTCTATACCTTTTTTGTTATTGCTTTGTTTTTGACATTAACTAAACTGTTTAAGCATTTTAAGGCATTGTTGTTCAAGGTTAGGGTTAAATACATTTTTTTTCAAACTAAATAAAAATCAAATCAAGATAGCACAAATAGGTTACACAGGAGATGGAACAGAAATAATAAAACCGTAGTTGTTTAAAATATGGGCAAAATCTAAGACTTTATGCAAAAACACATGCCTAGGTCTTATTTAATGTGCACTGCTTGAAAGGCAACTTTATGTAATAAGCAAATTGACAATTATTTGCAATGCGTACTCTCTTGAGAGTACGCACTATGGCGCACTCTCTTGTACACACTCTCCTGAGAGTACACACTGTGTACTCCACTGCACAACTCCACCTCGTTTTCAGTTTGCAGCAGGAGTGAAGAATGACTGAGGATGGGCCCATCGCCCCTTCGCCGACAGTGCGTTCAAGCAACAGCGAGTGGACAAATCTTACTTAAATCGCGTAGTGGAGTTGTTTAATTATGTAATTTTAGCATACTCGGCAATCTCTCGTGCCTCACAAATGTATGGCAACACCGCCATGCCTCGGCGCTGCTTGCCAGCCTACCACTGTGCTGCAGAGTAGACACACCCCTCCATGCTTCACTGCACGCATTAGCAAAGGGGCAAAGAAATAATGAAATAAAACGCAAAAGGGGGGGGGGGCGACGACAGTGTTAATATTATTATCAACTGCTTGATATCAAAGGTGATGGTGTTACATCTTATTTAAATCTCAGATATCGGGCTGTGGCTGCGAAACAAAGACACTGCGGTACGTGACAAAATACAACCTCAACGAGGCGATGCCCACCTACTGAGACTCTTCGCTGTATCTAATGGTAGCGCGGTAAACCCCACACTCGGCGGTGCCCCTTGGTTCAAATATCAGAGAGGGAACGATGTTGCTTTAAACCTCACGCGGTCAGAGTTGTTTACCTCTTCGTTACCTCTGACGTCACGACACACCCCTGTTTGAGGGGTCGGCCCTCCACGTTATGAGCATAGGAGTCGGCCAAACAAAGCCGGGCTGAACGGAAATGTCACCAACCACAACACGGGATACACGCCAAGCCCACCTGTGATTGGTTACCGGAGGGGCTGG